TTTGTGAACCTGGTTGGGTAAAAAAATTATATCTTTTCATTAACCTCTAAATAAAGCTTAGAACTTATTTTGACTTTGAATGTAGGCACCAAACCATAGCATTACGGTTTGTATTAGCAGTACATAGTAGTATAGCAGTATCTGTGACTTTGGCACCAATAGAAATTACCTATCTTCAAATCTGATACACTGGTTGCAGCTATCTTAAGATTGTTTAAAATCATCACTACTTCAAAATTATTGTGGTTACTAGACCTACTATTAGATCTTATACAATTTATTATTTTAAAAGCATATATTATATCCAATTAAATATTTTGACAATTAAAGAATAAGTAAATAAATTGAATTTCTTATAATGAACACTGATTATTCTTCAGTAAGAGGAAGTTAATGCTACTAAATCTCTTGTCTGTAAGCATCTACAAGGTACCACCATATATTTCATAAATGCGTTTTCCATTCATAGAGACTTGCAATACCCATCTCTTTCATATTATTCTGCCATTTCATATTCCCCTCTAATAGTTTTGATGTGAAATACTTCCATTTCCCACATTCATCTAAATCTATCTGCTTCTCATATTATTCACTCTTTTTATTCTAGCTCCACTCACCACGATCTTCTGCCTCTATGACTTTCTTCTAGTCTTGATCTTCAAGGTCTGTTTTCCATAGTGAAGCCAAAATTATCGCCATAAAACATTAATTAAATTGTATCATCTTCTAACTACAGTCTTTCCATGGTTTCCCACTCCACTTAGGATACAATCTAAACTCCCTGCCAGAGCCTACCAGACTCCCCATAATTCAGTTGATGTTTTTCTCTTCCCCTTCTTTCATTCTGTTCTGGCCACATGGCTTTGTCTGTTCTATGATGACAATAAACCTATTTCTGCCACAGTTCCTTTCAATTTATTATTTCCTCTGCCCCAAACACAGTTCTCCCAGATTTCCCTATGATTCTTTTCTTCCCCTCCTATGATTTCTCATTCAGTATCAACTCAAATATGCCCCTTTAAGTGGCCTCCACTAACACACTCTTCTTAAGTACCTTTCCCTACCTTATCCGGTTTTGTTTTCTTTGTCAGCTGCAGTTATTGTACATATTTGTTAACTTTTTCTTAGAAAGTAAACCCATGAGAGCAGGCTGTGTCTGATTTGTTCACTTGGTTAACCTCAGTGCCTTGTTAGAACCAGGCTCATAGTGGGAACTCAATAAGTATTGATTGAATATTTTGAATAAGTTAATTATTAAGAGATTTAAAAAGTGGCATTTTCAAAGTAAAATCCCTGTGTTTTGTCACTCTAATTACAAAGGTTTCAGGGTAGAAGATGAGGTGTAGTTCAATGGCAGGCAAACAAAAAAAAGCATTTGAGGGCTACTGTACGGAGCCAATGTTTGCTAATAAATATGCCAGGCTTATTTCTATATATAAATATTTATATATGGAAATAAAGGACAAGAGGAACATTTGCTGATGCCTATGATGAGAAATGGAATTTTCATAGTAAACTGTTAACAAATGCACTTAACATCCATTACAATAAAAAAATAAACTCAGTGTTCACTCAAACACAAATAAGTGGTCATCTAAGTGTACAGATTAGATTCCAAAATATGTTCCAACTTCTACTCCTTCCTTGGTCGCACACTTACTCCCAATTAATAAATTCTCACAGAAGACAGTTTTCTGCTCCTTTTCAGGTCTGACACTGTGATGAGGCTTTTTTAGCTGCCCCTTGATATTGACAGTACAATAGCCACCCCACCAGGGCACACACATATTATCAGCAGTCAAAAGTCTGGTAAAATAAAAACTTTCTCTTCATTTCTTGGAGAGCTGGCTTAGGAAAGAATATGTTCTAAGACATTAAAGGTGAACATTTTAGTGATACTTGTAAAAAATATGCCTTCCTGCTATCTTCTATAAAAATCTAAGTTTCAATTATATCATCCTAGTAGATATTAAAAAGCTACACCTCCGGTTCGATTGCCGGCCTGAGCTGAGCAGCCGCTGAGCTGCCAACAGGTGGCAGAATGGCTCAGCTCAAAAAAAAAAAAAAAAAAAAAATCCGTTCATAGACTTTCAATAAAGAGACCTACAAAAAAAAAAAAAAAAAAAAAAAAGTAGAAAAAGCTACACCTCAAAGGTAGCATTTTATTCCATATTCTCTTGTAACCTAGAATGAAACTAAAGCATAAATAATTGGAGATCTGTACACTAACATAAAGGTTATAGAATGGGACTCAATTTAACACAGTAGCAAAAAAAAAAAAAAACCAAGTGGGATTATTTCCCTCTCCCACCTTGAAAAGGTGGAACTATGAAACAAGTAGGAGGAAACGTTAAGCTGAATGGGCAACATTTCAGGGAACCCTCTTCCTAACAGTTTTCAAGAATCCTATATTTGGGATATGTACTTACTTCTTTGTGAATATGTTTTCGTGCATTCTTTCCTATATAGCAGCTCCATCCTTATTATCTATAAGAGGGTTTTCTATCTGTTTTCATCATATGGGAAAGTGTTGTATTGCATAAAAACACTTTGAACACACACCCATTGGATACATATATTTATGCATTTCTAAATTATATACATTTGCCATGCACTTTTACATATTTTATACATCTTCCTACAACTAAAAAAAAATAACAGAATGAGATAGGATAAATATATAACAAAGTTCTATTTTTCTTAAAATAGACTGGCTTGTATATTCCCTGGGGAATGCTTGCTTACCCCACTTTGGAGACCACTAAGATTGTACTGTCTCAATGAGAGGAGCTTATTATAAGCTCTTTTGATTTTATGATCTAGTGTGTACTAGAGTTTTCCAATAACCCAGATATACATAGCAAAGTATAGTGCATGATGCTGTGGGGTGCCCCCTAAACCAAGGCTTTCTATCCTCCAGCTGCAGCTAATATTGTTGGCTGTTGATGGCTCATAGCTGGGGTGACTCAGAGCTGAGTTAATATACCCCATTGCCACCCCAGTAGCCCTCCATTCAATGATAAGTCAGTGAGGGTGGTGGTGGGCAATAAAAGACCCATCACTTTATTTCAATTCAGGGCAACCTGAAAGGGCCCTCCCAACTCGAGTCCCCACTGGAGTCCCATGAGGCTTCTGTTACAGCTACAGTCCAGTTCAACTGCTCCCTCTGCACAGTCCTACTTCCTCCAGTCCCTTGGTGACTGCAAGGACACTCCGCCATAAATCTCCTATGTACAAATCTCTGTCCTAGAGTCCCTTTCCTGGGGAATCCCAACAATGACATGTATACATCAGCACGTAATTATCCTTATTATCTAGTCTGCTTAGATGCCGATTTCCTAATAGGATTGTTTACTAGAAACAAAGGATTGAGCCACTAGAAATTCAAGAACTAATGTAATATTCAAAGTTTTCTTAAGCCTTTATGAGGATCTCAGTAAGTAGGAATTAGTTTCACCTGGAGGTTTTGTTTTTCTTATGCAAAAGTAAGGTTCCTGAAATTTGTCAGGAAGAATGACCTCCCTCCTGAGGGACTGAGTGACATTCACTGATGGACTTAATATCATTGCTTCTGAGGACAACAGGCTTTCTCCAAGCTGACCTCAGCCATTCTGCCTCAGGCTCTGGTCCAGTTCCTACTATTCACTCTGGCCCCTCCTTTACTGTCACTTCAGCTCCTGATCCAACTCCAAGATCACTCAGTTCCAAGAAATGTCTCAGCACTTGGCCCCGGGGCAGTGTAAGACACCTACTTACTTTGGTTTGGAGGTTTCTCTCTGAGGAAATCGGTTTAACTCACTAGAGGCTGTGAGGTTGAACTCAGCAGTTAACTGTGACACCCTTTTCTGTTACATTTTCCTTAATGGAATTTATTTTTGTATTTGCCACTTAGGAGAGAGCTCTACTTTCCTAATGTACCAGTCACAAGATAAGTAAAGTAGCTATTATTATCACCACCAAGAAAGGAGAGGTCTATGGCATTGGACACAGGCCCCCATGACCTGCTTACATAAACTTTGCTCAAGATACAGAAACTCTCATTAAGGTGGGGTCCTAGCAACCGGTCCCACATAAAGTTAAGGCTTGCAGAGCAATTATGAGAAGCATACCAGCGACTCTAGAGTACATTAATATCAATAAAAACTCTGTACAAGGTTTAAGTATAGTTTCTGATATATAATACTAGAAATAAGTATCAACTATACATTCAAAACTTTGCTGAGAAAAAAGTGAAATATATGTACATACAAATTGTGATAAAAAGACTAACGACTAAAAAAAAGAGTCCTTCTTACCAAAACCCAAATAGGTTCAGAGTGGAGGTGGTCTTTACAACATGTATCATAATATTTGTTTCTAATTAATAGGACAGTTCAATGAAATATTCTTTTGATAAGATACCTTTATGTTTCACATGTCATGTATTAAGAACAGTGGTATATGCTCATTTGATTAAATAATAGAATTAAAGATAAAACAGAAATATGTCATAAACAATCATTGGTTAAATTATAAGATAACATGTAAAAGGTGATAGAAATAAAGAAATACAAGAAATGCATGTTATTCATTTATGACTTAACTTTTGTTGAAAATACAGCAGAAACCTTAACAGCAAGGCTCAAAGTCTTACCGGAAAGGTGAATTCGGCATCTTCCATACTCTGCTGTGTGTTTTCTTGAATGGCGAGTAGTTCCTATGTCTAAAGCTTATTATTTGTGAGGAAGTTCATCCTGAGTTTCTCATTATGTATTGAAATGCTGAGGCTACGGATCCTTTTCATAGGTATAGATTGCCCACCCATTAAAATACAGCTGCATGTTCACTTTATATAAAATCACTCACCCAAATATTTCTAAAATCCTAGATATAAAGACGTTATTCCAATACTCAATTTGAGGTAGGATTATCAGATAGGATTAACAAATTTAGCACATAATGGAAAGCAACCACTTATTATTAACCATTAAATGTACCAGTAAGAGCTAATCAGCACTTACCTGAATAACATGCTTCAGTTTATCAATAATCTGATTTATCACAGGATCAGTCCCTTTGACTTTGACTTCAGGGTTTCCAGATTGGGTTTTGATTCCATTTCCAACCACACGCTGAGCATAGCTAACAAAATGAACAGTGAAAGATATATGACTTAGTAACCTGGTCAGAGTATTATCTGCCACAACCATCTGAACAGATTTGAGTTCAGGATTTCACCCCTTTAAGACTGTGCAACAGTGTATTTTTTCTTGAGTCAGAAAATGGGATTGCTACAATGTTTTTCCTGGAAGATGCTTAGCATAAAAATACAGATTATTCTAATGTTTTTCCCTCAAAAGACCAAACTCAAAATTGTGTTTTTAATCAATAAACTAGAAAGAGTTAATATACATCTCACCTTGTTAACAATTCTTGCTGAATAACATATATGGCTGAATCCACGCTATCTGGGTCAATTTTTTTTACTTCATTTTACACAGTGCACAGATAAGTCCCAATAATTTTTTTTAACATATTGGACTACAAAAGAACTATAAATGTACTTTAACTGTAAACATCAAAATCATAAATATTATAAGCAAACAATTAAAACCTGCAAAATATTTTGCAAATAGAGAAAGCACAATCTGCTTTCACCAAGGTTCACCTAAAGGTCAACACAAGAGTCTAATAAATCACACTGTATCTAAAAGGGTGATTTGACAGACAGTAAGAGTCACTATATCACTACCTTCCCAAAATGGCAACCATATATAAGTCAACTTAGCATTCACACAAATACTTAAATTTATCAGTCACAAAAGTGTATTAAGTGCCTCCTACAATATTCAAACCCTGTCTATATTAGGTAACTGGAATTATAAGGAGATACTAGTATAAGACTCAATTCTTTCCCTCACAATGCTGATTATCTATCTGGGAATATAAAGTATCAGTGGATTTGTTCATTCAGGCATTCATTCATTACATTTTACTATATTTTAAATGCACCTGCTAGATTCCAGCAATGTAATTATCCTTCCTTTCCTGACAGTGTCCTGAAGCATTAGGACAAGTGAGCAGTTAAAGTGTAACATGAAGAATGACAGATGTCCCGTGTGCTACGGGGACAGCTAGGAGGAACTGCATGCCAAACGAGAGGCAGGGTTGTAGACACCGAGCATGTGGAGAAGACCATTCAGACTGCGACACTTAGGGAAAAACTAAACAAGTTAGAGCTTGAGGCAGCCCTTGAAGTATTAGGTAAAAATAGGCCTTGGATGGTATGGTTCATGCAGATTCCAGGGCAAAGGAAAGCATCCCAGCAGATCCCAGGAAATGGCAAAGGCACATGAATAACACACACAGGAAAGAATATGTGGGCTTATATTTACAAAGAAAGAGTAAAATGAGGGAAAGTAAGAGAAAAGAGGTCGTGCCCTGAAGAGTCCGTTGTCTATGTTTAAGATTCTCCTCTGAGTAAATTTGTTTGCTTACTAGTTAAAGTATCATATTGAACTGGCCTCTGAAGCTTTTCAATAATCATCGCCACATGGTTTTTAATGTAATTTTCCTTCCCTCTGTTTGAGCAGAGAATTACAACTAACCACATGCCCCCTCTGCATTTTCTACAGCATCAGAAACTCTGAAATGATAAAAGGTGTTTCCACTATGGAGAACATGACCTTATAAAAGGAGTGTCAAGAAATATTTAGTTCTCCCCAAGATTATGCATAGTCAATGACCAATTTTAAAAACTGGGTCAAACAATTTCCATTTAGGTCCTTCTAATAATGATAAATGATGGAATGCTTTGATATTGATAATATCAATTGGACATAACAAAAATAATTATATTAATGTCTTTTTGTTGTTAAAGCAACATTGAACCCATTCTTTATGCAGAAATCAAACAGTTTAGAGTGAGGTCTTCCAGTATACATTAGGGACTTGGATATATATATCAAGAATAGTAGAAAAAAAAATTGTTCATATGCTTTTAACATGTAATAATATTCTTTGGTTAGGAGAATAAAATAAACTGCAAACAGCAGGCTTCTCCACTCCTCTGAAGCAGTTATGTTTTTCTTCAAAATATTTCAAGCAGGTTGAACAGGTAGCTTCTTCATTAATGCATTGTTAATAATGATGAATAATATGAATAAATAAATGGATAAATGCGTATGTATGATTCAGGCATAGTTTAGTTACTTTCTGGGAATTTGTTGATTCATCATCATGATGCACACTCGTTGTGGCCATGGAATGTGCCTCAGATCTCCAAGTCCAGGAAGTTGAATTGACTAAAGGGCGCCAGCTGATTTGCTCTGAAATTCACTTCTGCATCTGCCCCCAACCAAGGACTGAGTGCAGCAGGCATCCCAAAGCAGGTCCATCACTGATGACATAGGCCTCCTCTGAAGGCCAACTTTGGCTCAGGATGCCCTGAAGCTCTTGTTAACCCTTCCTTAGACTGTGCATCCTGCTGAAAGGCTTCCCTTCCTCTCTCCTTGACTCTGGGTCACTCTTGTTTCATAACAAACAGCACTTCCAGCCTGACTCAGTTTCCTCCTCATTTTCGCTTGTTGGCATTTTTACCTTAATAAAATGCCGTTGTGTTAATCCCTTTTTGGCATCTGCTTCTTGGAGAGCCCAGACTAGTACACCACATAATACATGCACTATATATTATTCCCATTCTACATACAGGGGATCTGAAATCTGAATAGATTAAGTAACTTTCCCAAGGCAACACTGTTTAGTAAGCAAGCAGCAATACTATGAACCAGGGAATGTGAGCTCCAAAATACAATCACTGAAATAATCATTAATGAAAACTCTAGAAACCAACTAATATAAATTAGAGACACAATTTGCTTGTTGCAAAGCATTATTATTATTATTTTTGTTATTATTTTACTGTAACTACTGTATTTTCAAAGGCTTCACTGCCTATAATTAGGAAGGGATATGCTATTTTCTTCAAAAATCTCCTCAACAAACAGTTGTATATTACCAGCTAAAGAGTAAGATAATAGTTGTTGGCAGGGTGAAAAGAAACTAACAGGCTGTAAGTTTGCAATAAGGTGTTTCTATGTTTCTCCAGAAACACAGACATAATAGAAAAAAATGGAAACTAAAACTCACCTCTTAATTTTAAAGAAACTATTATTGGTGCATATCTTGGTTTATTTACACAACATGAAATTTTATTTTAAGATGCAGGAACATTATTTCTCATTAATCTCAAGAATTGTTCATTTTGTGTTCTCAATTATCCCAGTTAATAACATAGATGAAATTTATCAGAATTACAATTGATCAAGAATCTCATTCCAAGCTAGTATATTATGAAATAGTTCAGGATCCCTATTCTTATGTATCATTTAAATAAGGAAAAATACTACAAATCAGGACATTTAAGATACTGCAAGTGAAAGATAATTTAATATAATTAGTTATCCTTTTCTGATTTTGTAAGGGTAAGAAGAACCACAATGCAATAGTGGTACATACACACCAGAGTGATTTAAGGGAAAAAGGGAGATGATACCAAGTGCTGACATACAAGTGGAGCAACTAGAACCATCTCTTGTGGATGGGAGTAAACTGATATAAGTCACTATTTGACATGTATGCTAAGCTGAACATATCCTATGACTCTGGGTATATAATTAATAGGTATTACAATGCTCAGAGTAGTATTAGTCAAAATAGCCCCAAACACAATCCAAGTGTCCATAAACATTAGCATGGGCGAATAAATGGTATTATATTCATAATGTACTATACAGCAATGAGAATGAATGAGCTACAGCTGTACTCAAAATTTTATAAGCTAAATATTGAATGAAAGAAGCAAGATACGGAACTTACTTTATGACTCCATTAATACAAAGTTTTAAAACTAATTGATAATGTTTAAAATCACCATAATGCTATTCTAGGAGAAAGTGTCTAAAAGGCTGAAGGGGGTTTCTGGGGTTTCAGTCATATGTTTCTTGATTTGGGTCCTCGTTACACAAGAGTGCTCATTTTATGTTAAAAAAAGATTGCACAGTTAAGATTTGGATACTTTACTGTATGCATGTACTTTCAACCTAAATAAAATATTAAAAACTTATTGTCTCTTTTTCTTAATGTATACACAATCAACAAATTTACATTGAACAATATATAAATAAAAGATCTACATAGATATTTTCAACAGGAGTTAAATGGTTTTATCATCACTAAATGAGTAATTTAGGATCCTCACTTGATGTAAAAACTTACTCCCTGTAGACTTTCATTTGCATGCAAAATACGTGGTTTCTAAATCAAATAAAAATTTTTCTAACAAAGACTTTTTATTTCAGTTTTCCTCATTATGAAATTTTAATAAATCATTAATCACTGTTTTTTCAGTACAAGTAATGGACAAAACATTTCAAGGATCCTTACAGAGATTTCTTGACTTGAAAAATTGCTCACATTTCAAAAAACACATAAAAGAGAGAGGAAAATTATTTTGTTAGAGAAGTAATAGACCCACCGTTTGTGCTTATTTCTTCTAAGCAGGTCTGGTAATGGATGACAGCAGTTTAATAGGAATACTTGCTCCCCAAGTACAACTCATTTTTCATTAATGTGGAAAACAGGCAAGCATTGATATATTTACATTCTATAAAATATTTTAAAATGATGATTAACAAGATTTTTCTTTGTGTTCAACATATGAAATGTGAAAAAGAAGTGCTAGTAAATCTATACGTAGTATGTCACTGAGAAGTCATTTCTCCTGGCTATCAACATTACTTGTTTGAAACTCATGGACCTTATTGGCTGATATTAATTTCACTTTATTTAGAATGCAACATAATTTAGTTCAGATTCACATCAAAAGCATATTTTGATAAGTACTTATATAATTTCAGGTAGAAAAATATTTGGACTCTGATCTGGAATTCATTGCAAATCATTTCAAGTGGTCTTAGAAGTCTTTGATAACTTCACTGGGACAGGATATAAGAACATAATGATAAGAGATGAGGGAAACACCTGATCAGGGCTTTCTCCTTTTACCATTATTGCCATCGTTGTTAGGGATTAAAGGTCAGAAAGGGGACCATGTTGGTGCTGGTGGTGATATTAGTAGTAGA